CGGCCAGTTCAGGTAGCTCAGGTGCTATCGAGTGCAATCACTCACCTCTTCTCGTGCTTTGAGGAGCTCCACCTGCCTGTGAACATCAAGAAAACGAAGTACTTGTGCACTCGAGAGGTTCAGACCCATGGTGTGGGCTCCCGGTGATTGCCTGGTACGTCTCGGGTCGAGCATGCGCGCAACCTCGGCGCGGATGCGACGACGGGCTCACGACGACGTGTGGGAGTGCAGAGAGCGAGGTTCATTGATGCAGGTTCGCGCTCGAAGCGACTTCGAATGCTGAGGGAGGCTGGGGCTGATGTGGCTCTTGCGCAGAGAATGGGGGCCACGGCATCGGCCCTCTGGGGCAGTAGTGTCTCGGGAATTTCGTTGACGGCCATGCATGGCCTAAGGCTGTCGGCGGCTCAGGCTCTAGGACGTCATCCCAAAGGGGCATCCCTGGGAATTCGGCTGCATTCGTTTCGTCTGGGAGAACTCGTTGACCCGTTAGTGGCCTATGTTGGCCATGTGGCCTTTCAATGTGGCCTTTCAATGGGCCACTGCGGTCTGGGGCAGTTTTCCCTAGGTTTCGATTTTGAATGCGACGGCCGACGCGGCCATAGTTCGAGCCAATCCGAAAAGGCACCCATGGCAGGGAGCTGCGACACCTGCGGATGTGGCAGTGCTCAGTCTTGCTCGTGTGGGCTGGACGTTTCGAGATTTTCGAACGGTCGAAACTGACCTCGGGCAGGTCTGGAGTCTCTCCCGGATCGCGCCTGTGGAGTTTCGGTTGCAGGTCCGTGCGGCGGCCGTCAGAGCGTCGGACAGACAGGCGTTGATGCAGATAGGTGATGAGCTCCAAGGGTACCCTCTTTTCTGGGATGCTGTGAGGCCTCTCCTTCGCTCCTCCTCCTCTTCTTGGAAGCCCCAGCATCAGAGGGCCCTCAGGAGCCTAATGAGTAATGTGCACTGGCCTCAAGCTAGAGTGCACAGGCATGGGTATCACAGTTGCGGCAAGCGTAGGCTGTGTCAGGAGGAAGCGGGGACCCTTTTTCACAGACAATTTCGTTGCTCGGCCCACGCTGTGCTCAGGAGGGGCATGGTCTCGCCGCAGCTAGCCAGACGGGCGGCCCGTGTGCTCGAGGGAGGTGAGGAGCTGGCTGAGAGATTCGCGCGTGCGATCTTTCCGTCGCCGCTGGCGCTCTTCCCTGCCCAGGAGCCTGAACAGACTGTGGTTTGGATTAATAGGCCTGAGACAGGCCGCCTCAGTGGTTTAATTTTTTCGGATGGGTCCGCTTCTTGGCCAGGGATTCCTGGGCTTTCGAGGGCTGGTTGGGCCTTGGTCCAGGCCGATGCCCTGGGCAATGTCATCTCGGCTTGTTACGGACCCGTCCCTTTCTCCCATGGGCCTCGCCAAACGGCCAAGGATGGGGAAGACTATGCTGTATACATGCTGAATCAGTGTGCGATGGCGCCGATTGGTTTACACTGTGACTGCCAGGGAACTCTGGATGTCCTCTGGGGCGGCCAAGGGGCGGGGGCCTCGGCTGGAGGGCCCAGGGCCCACCTGTGGGCCCCCTTCTGGTCCAGTTTCTCCCCAGGGGATTTCACGGCGTTTAAGACGGCAGCTCACTGCTCGATGTCAGATGTCCACAGTGACAAGACGACCCTGTGGGAGAAGCGAGCCAATGATTCGGTAGACTCTCATGCAAAGATGGGTGCTGCTAAGAACCAACTTTGCCAGCAGGACGTTGACTTGTACAGAGGTCTCAAGTGTTTTGTGAAAGAGTCTGCCAAGTGGGCTGCCCAGTTAGAGGTTCACCTGCAAGGCCGGGCAGAAAAGCGCCTGGACACCGTCGGCCTTGGAGCTTCGGAAAAGTGCGCGCCCGACGCTCACGAGTTGCCGCCTCAGCCTGAGCCTGGGATTGAAGAGTCTGTGGGCGGGGAGGGGGTGGACTTTGGGTCGGGAGGGACGGGTTGCTTGGACTGGGCCGACATGGCCACCTCAGCCTTCTTTCTGCAGGGCCATGCTCTCATGTGCTGTGTCATCGAGAGCCCCGCCCGTGCTGGTGTGCCTATCGTGTTATGTGTGAAATGCGGGGCCTATTGCGAGGACTATAGGCCAGGGGACCTGCTCGTGGCAGGGTGTAACCACAGGCCTCGTTCCGCTCAGGTCAAGCACCAGCTGAAGCGAATTCGGGATGGCAGGCACCCCCACGGAAGGGCCTCGTCCAAGAATTTGGTGGTTTCCCAGTCTCGAGGGCTCTCGGAGGCTGAGAGGGACCTCATGAGTGTTCGTTGCCATGCCTCGCCTTTTCCTGCCGCAGGTCAGGCGGGCCGTCGGCCCAGGCTCGGCTACGCTTGCCGCCAGGCCGTGCTCGATGCTTACGGCCTCCAGGAGTGCGACCTCGACATGGTCAGGTCGCTAGGCGAGGCGGCTCCCCGACCTGCCCAGGATCCCGAGGATGTGGATGCCTCGGATTCGGAGGGGGAGGTCTTCTAGGTTTTTTCTCTGACTTTAGGTCGCTCCGCAACAACAACCTCCTCCTCCTCCTCCTCCTCCTCCTCCTCCCCCTCCTCCTTCTCCCTCTCCTCCTCCTCCCCCCTTCTCCTCCCCCCCCTTCCTCCTCCTCGTCCTCCTCGTCGTCCTCGTCCTCCTCCTCGTCCTCCTCCTCCTCCTCCTCCTCCTCCTCCTCCCCCTCGCCGCCCGGAGAGGCCCATGGGCGGAACCCCCTTTCAGTGGCTACCGAAAGCGGGCGGAGGGGGGGGGGGGGGCACGGCATCTGGAGGGCGGCCGCGCCAGCGCGCGGGGGGTGGCAACGCGTCTTGCGGGGGATGAGGCCCAAGCTCAAGAGGGGAACACACAGACACACTGAACCGTCGATTCCCAGGAAAATGTTGGGACAATACGGCAGGTTCGCGTTGTGTCGGCCGACGGCGACCTCGCCGCCAACGTTCACCACTGAATCCCGCCAGCGGCCCAGAGTCAGTCGACGTTGAACGACCTGACATGTCGGAAACGGCCGATCGTTCCAGGTGGAACGATCCCCGCGGTGTCAGAAACCAATGCCAGGGTCGTCACGACACGAACCTGCCGTGTGGCTGAAGGGGGGGGAGACGAAGACCCAGAACACGTTGGGAAAGTAGGGGGAAGCCTGGGGTTAGTGTGCATGTATTAGCGTGTCCTTGGGACCCCTTCACAGTACGCGAGAGGCGCAGCGGGCACCATCGACACGAGTCTCCCCAGTGACCTCGGGCTTCCGATGCGGCACCCGCGAGAGCAGCAAGCCGACATCGGCGACAAATTGTAGCTTTCCGGGGAGGCAGCCCCCCCCGAAAGATGATTGGCACAGCCATCAATCATATGCTCATCCTCGAAGGGCGCCACCTCAATGTTCCTCCTCCCCCCCCTCCTCCTCCTCACGGCATCTTCGGTCCAAAGGGGCTTCACACGACCCGATGGGCGACCAAAGCGATCTCGCGCACGAGCCCGCAAACATTAAGATATTCGTGGGCCACGGGCGCTCTTGGTCGCCGAGGAGCCCGCACCGAGGGGGCGCAGTCCGAGTGGGCTGCGGTGTCGCCCGTGACACTCGAGACAACCAGGTGCAACGGTTACGGTTGAGCCTTGGGATTCGGCTCAGCTAGCGTGGGCAGGTTCCCATCCGGAGGGGAGCATGCGGAGGACGAGGAGGAGGAGGAGCAGCAGCAGGGCGAAAAACGGGGAGTAAGAGGCGGAGGAGGCGGAATGAAAAGGATGAGGAGGACGTGGAGGGGGTGGAGGAAGATAGTGATGATCAGGATCAGGATCAGGATCAGGGTGAGGATGACGATCCTCGTGAAGAAGATAAGATGATGGGACGACGAGGATGATGGCGGTGATGATGATTATGCTGATGGTGCGGACGCCGATGGTGTCGACGACGATGATAAGGTTGATGTTGTTGATGTTGCTGCTGCTGATGATGATGAGGTCGATCATGATGCTGATGACGCTGATCAGGAGATCGCTGCTGATGATGATACTGATGTTCCTGATGATGATAGCTAGTGTGTTGCTGATTATGATGGTGATATTGAACTTGACTATCATGGTGCTGATTATGATGATGGTGCTGCTGCTGATGACGATGTTAGTGAGGATGGTGGGGATACGGATGAATCTGAAGATGCGTATGACGATGATACAGAATTATGATGATGTTGGTGCTGATGATGATGCTGCTCCTGATGATGATGGCACGGTGACGATGATGCTGATGATGGTGCTGATGACGACCACGATGCAGATGATGACGACGACAACGGTGATGACGACGATGATGGTGCAGAGTATTAGGATGTAGACGATGACGGTGACGAATGTGATGCTGCTGATGATGATGTTGATGTTCATGGCGATGATATTTGTGATTATGATAATCAGGATGACGATTGCGATGATGATGATGATGATGATGATGATGATGATGATGATGATGATGATGACGATCGATGACAATGCCGATACTCATGATGATGTCGATGCTTAAGATGGCGATGGCGATGACGATGATGTAGTTCATGCTGATGATGTTCATGATGAGGATGCTGCTGCTGGTTATGAAGAAGCAGACGAAGTTGAGCAGGAGGAGGAAGCGGAACAGGAGGATGAACAGGAGGAGAATGGGGAAGGGGAGGGGAAATATGAGGTTGAGGAGACGGAGGGAGAGCAGGAGGGGGACGAGGTCGAGGAGGAGGACGATCAGAGAGGAAGGAGGACCGTGGATAGAAACAGGAGGAGAATAGCGGAGGAGAAGGAGGAGGAGGAGGTGGAGGTCGAGGATGACGACGACGACGACGACGAGGACGGGGAGGAGGAGGAGGAGGAGGAGGAGGAGGAGGAGGAGGAGGAGGAGGAGGAGGAGGAGAGCAGGAGGAGGAGGAGAAGAATTAGGCTGAGGAGAAGGCAGGAGGAGGAGCAGGAGGAAGAGGAGGAGGCAGGTTGGGGGGGAGGAAGGACGGCCGTCGCTGAAGAGGACCTCCTAGAGCGGAACAGGGCGCTGCTCGACTCGTGCCGGAAGTTGGACGACGAGAATCAGGCGGCGCGGCGGCCGGCGTGGGGGGATGGCGCTCGAGGGTGAGGAACAGCAGACCGAAGGGCGGAGCACAGACGCACAAAGGAGGAGGAGGAGGAGGAGGAGTAGGAGGAAGAGGAGGGGGAGGAGGAGGATGAGGAGGAGGAGGAGGAGGAGGAGGAGGAGGAGGAGGAGGAGGAGGAGGAGAGGAGGAGGTGAGAAGGAGGAGGAGGAGGAGGAGGAGGAGGCTCGGAGGAGGTGGACAAGGAGGAGGAGGACGAGGAGGAGGAGGAGGAGGAAGAGGAAGAGGAAGAGGAGGAGGAGGAGGAGGTGGAGGAGGAGGAGGAGGATGAGGAGGAGTGGGAGGAGAAGGAGGAGGAGGAGGGGCAGGAAGATGAGTCAGGCAGGTGGGCTTCTTAGATGCCTGCCTGCCTTGCCTTGCAGGAGGTTATCCAAGAACCCCAAGCTCCCCTGATGTCTGCGGAAGCCCTGCCCTGCTCCTTTCTGCTCTCTGCAGGAGCACGGACGGAATGGGTTTTTGGAGGAGTGGGAGGGGGGGAGGGCGAAGGAGAAAGGAGGGAGGAACGAGATGGGATAGCATGATTCTGGCGGTGGTGGCGATGCTTGTGACGGTGAAGGCGATGGTGATGGTGATGGTGATGATGATGATGATGATGATGATGATGATGATGATGATGATGATGATGATGATGATGATGATGATGATGATGATGGTGATGGTGATGGTGATGGTGATTGTGAGGATGATGGTGATTCTGATGATGGCGACGGTGATGACGGTGGTGATGATTGCGATGTTGTTGGTGATGTTTATGATATTATGGTGATGACGCTGATGGGGATGGATACGTGGATGACGGTTCGGATGATGGTGATGATGTTGCTGAGTATATTGCTTATTCTGGTGATGATGATAACGAGGATGATGATGACGATGATGCTGATGATGATGATGATGGTGATACTGATGATGCTGTTGATGCTGATGATGTTGCCTTTATGGACGAATATGGGGATGATGCTGCTGCTGACGATGACGATGCTGGCGGTGGTGGCGCCGATGAGGATGAACATGAGGATGATGGTTATGATTATACTGATGATGCTTATGATGATGCTGATGCATATGATGATGCTGATGATGATGGTGCTGATGCTGATGCTGATGTTGATGTTGCTCATGATGATGCTGATCGTGATGACGACGCGGGTGATTGTAACGATGCTGATGATGTTGATGATGATGATGGACATGATGATGGCGACGGTGATGGAGATGTTGTTTCCCTTGCTGATCGTGATGCTGCTGATAATGGTGATGATGATGACGATGATGATGATGATGATGCTGATATGGATGATGGTGATGCTGATGCTGATGCTGACGATAATGTCGATGGTTCAGATGACGACGACGATGGCATGATGGTGTTTATGATTATGATCCTGCTGATGATGATGCTGATGATGGTGATGATGATGATTGTAGTGGTGGTGATGATGATGCTGGCTATGCTGATGCTGATGTTGGTGGTGGTGATGATTACGACGACGATGACGATGCCGATGCTGATTATGACGATTCTTATGCTGCTGGTGATGACGATGACGGTGGTGTGGTGATAATGATTAGTTTGATGAGTATGCTGATTATGCTGATGCTGCTGAGGTTGCTGAGGATGGTGGTGTTGATGATGATGCTACGGCTTCTAATAACGATGCTTATCATGCTGACGATGCTGATGATGCTGCTGATGATTCATATTATGATAACAGTGCTGATGATGACGATGATGATGACTCTGATGATGACGATGCCGATGACGCTGATGCTGGTGATAACGATTGTAATGCTGTTGATCATGATGATGATGGTGTTGTTTCCGATGAGTAAGCGGAGGACGAAATAGATATGTTGTTGCTGATGACGATGATGATGCTGATGATGCTGATGATGCTGATGATGATGATGATGATGATGATGATGATTATGATTATTATAATTATTATTATTAGGATGAGGATAGGGATACTGATGATGAGGATGATGATGAGGAGGAGGAGGGCCAATGATGAGAAGGGGAAGAGGGTTTGATAATCACGAGGAGGATGCGGAGGCGGATGTGGACAAAATCGAGGATGATCTTGAAGGGGAGGGGGAGGAGGAGGTGGAGCAGGAGCAGAAGGGCCTCGTCTTTACGCAACGTCCCCCTCTCCCTTTCTATCCTCCGACAACGACGACGCCAACGCTGACGCCGATGCCCACAACGGCGGCGACGATGACGAAGACGACACAGGCGCCAGCGACGCCGACGGGGGCGCCGCCTCTACCTGAGCATACGCCCACGGCGGCCACGACGACCACCATGACGTCTTCAGTCAAATATTTGGGACAAAGGTCCTTCTCGGTTTCAAAAGGGGCCCCTTCCTTGGTTTCCTCCCCTCGTTCCTCGTGCTCCTGTGCGATGCTCAGACCCCCACAGCGGCTTCGTTCCTTACGCAAGGTCGCTTGTCGCGGCCCCTGACGGCGACGACGACGAAAACGGCGACGGCGACGACGACAAGGAGGACGACGACGATGCCGTCGCCGTCGTCGGGGGCGCCGTTCGCACAGGGCGCCCCCGACGCCCACGGCTGCGGCGACGCCGCCCACCTCCAGACGGCCGGCGCCGCCGACGGCGACGTCGACAACGACGACTGCGCGCGCTGCAGGCGCTGTCGGACCGCGTGAGGGGTGCGGAGGCCGCGGCATCGCCGCCTGCGCGGGCGCCGCCCCAGGCGGCGCCGCCGCCCGAGGCCACGCCGCGGCCTTGTCCTCGTCGGCGTCGTCGTCGTCGTTGCCGTCGTCGTCGTCGTCGGCGTCGTGGCCGGCTGGGGGTCATCGTCGCCGTCGGCGTGATCGTCGTCGTCGTCGGCGTCGTCGGCGTCGTGGTCGGCGTGGTCGTGGTCAAGCTCGTCGTTGGCGTCGGCGTGATTGTCGTTGTCGGCGTCGTCCACGTCGGCGTCGTCGTCGGCGTTGGCGTTGTGGTCGTTGTCGACGTCGGCTTGGCGGTGTTCGCCGTTGCTCTGGTCGTGCTCGTGGTTGCTGTGGTGGTGGTGGTCGTCGTGCACGTCGCCGTCGTCATTTAATGTTCGTCGATCGAGCGCATACTAAAGAACATCTTTGCGGAGGAGCCCATACTAGAAGCGTCCTTGGCATGGAATCCGCACAACAAGGTATCTTTACGAAAGGTTTTTCTACTGCACCAACCAACACTTCTTTGCTGCGGGAACTTCCTTCCTGATGGAGTCCGTATTACAGGCATCGTTCGCACAATACAATTTACTGAAGGAATCCACCCTGAAATAATCCTTACTAACGGTTCCGTAGCGAAGGGTGTTTTGTTCACGGTTTGGGATTGAAAGACTTCTCAACAAGGAACCCATATCAAAAGGCATCTTAATGAAGGAGTCCATATTTCAAACACAAGCAATCAGGATTGTTTACTCGAGGACGCCTTTCCCAAGGATCCTGTATTAAAGGCATCTTTGCAAACGGATCCGTATTGAAAGCGTCCTTGACCTGATGAAGGAGTGATTACTGACGCATCCTTACTGAGGATTCCTTCTTGTTTGTAAACGGGTACTTATCTACCAACCTTTTTACCAATGGGATATTGACTAAGGATTCCCCAAAGGGGTCCTTCCTCAATAATGCTTCATAAAGTAAGGAGTCATAAAGGATCTGTTATTCAAGGGAATCTCACTAAGCAGTACAGGATATCATACCCCCACCCCAGTTAGTGAGTCCAGGGGGGGTCTAGAAGTCATTATCATATATTATGTCATTTCGTCTCTCCTCATCATGCCATCTCATGTTCCCCCATCCTCCTCTCCCCGTCACGGCGAGCGAACGCAGGGGAGTCGGAGGAGTGAGTCGGAGGAGGAGAAGGAGGAGGTGCAGGAGAAGGAAAAGCGGCATGGGGGGAAGGAGGGCGAGGAGGAGGGGGAAGATGAGGGGGGAGGAGGGGGATGAGGAGGAGGAGCAGGAAGAGCAGGAGGAGGATGGGGGAAGAGGGGGGGGGGGCCCCCTGGGCCCCCTGGGGGCTCCCTGAGTCCCTCTTGGAGGCTTCCTGGCCTTCTTGGGCGTTCTGGGCCGTGGGGGGCCGCGCTTCCGCCCATGCCTCCCCCGTCTAATGATATAGTCGCACCCCCCATGGGGTGCTGCCGGGGCTCGGGGTGGTGCTGCCCGGACCGGGGTGGGGGGCGCTGCCAGGACCGGGCTTCGGAGGGGATGCCTCGGGCGCGGCGCCCCTACCCGAGCTGCTCCTCGGGCCCTGCGCGGGAGCTCTTTCGCGGCGGGCCCCCCTCCCCCCAGGAAGGAGGAGGAGGAGGAGGAGGAGGAGGAGGAAGAGGAGGAGGAGTAGGCCCCCCCAGGGGGGGGGGAGTCTCCGCAAGAGCGCCTTGGGGCGCGCCCGGTGCGCTCCCTCTCGCCCCCCCCCCCCCCCGGGGGCTCCGCGCCCGCCTCGCGCAACCTCCTCGCCCGCCCCCCCTCGCTCCTCCTTCCCCCCCCCCCCTCCCCCCCCACGTCGTCCCTGTCCCACTCCTCCCCATGCACTCCTTCCCCCGCTCTGTGCTTCCCACACGCCACTGCCTCGCGACATTCCCCTCGATTCCTCCCCTCCCGCACCCACCCTCCCTCCTCGCCCCCCCTTGCCCTCTTGCCTCCTCCTTCCCTCCTTCCCCTCTCTTCTCCTCTTCCCCTCCTCCCTTTCGTTCTCTTCCCCTCCTTCATCCCGCCTCCTTCCCTCCTTCCCTCCTCCACTTCCTCCCGCCCCTTCCCTTCCCGCTCCCGCACCATCCGTCATCGCACCTCCCTTCCCCTCCTCCATCGTCCCCTCCCTCCCCCGCCCTGTCCCTCCCTATCATCGGCATCGAGGTTTTCGCCGCCATCGCCATGGATATCGGTGTGCCGTCGCCCACCTGGGGGTGCCAGGGGGTGCCAGGACCGGGGTGGGGGGTGGGAGGTTCTGTTACCAAAGAAGGCCCCCATTACGATTAAGGCATCCCTTTCAAGGACATCCGGGAGCCCAGCAACCCAGGGGAACCTCAGTACCTTGGTGTCATTAATGAAGGCATTCTTATCATCAACAACTCATTACAAAAGGGGTCCTGAATCAGGATCCCTGGTAAGAAGGAAACTCGCTCACGATCCTGAACTAAGGCTCCGTCGCCAAGAAGTCAGAGAGCCCGAAAGAGAAGACATAAGATGTTCCTAGCATCTTTTTCATCACCGAGAGCACAGTTCCCATTTCCCCGCTACGCCAGGTTCGCGTCGTGTCGACCGGCGGCGACCCCCAGCGCATGCGTTTAAGGGTGAACGCCGCCCGTGGCCCAGAATCGGCCCGCCGTTGAACGCTCCGGCGTTGATGGAACGGCCGATCGTTCAAGGTTGAACGATCCCCGCAGTGTCAGGAACCAACGCCGGGGTCGACACGACGCGAGCCTGCCGTCGCGAGCCTGCCGTACTAGAAGCGCAAAAGCGCAGGCCGCGCGGTCGTGCCCCCAAGCCCCGAGCCCACGGGGATCGGAGGGGATAACGGAGGGAGAGGGCCACGGCACGGGGGAGGCGGGAGACCCAGACCCCCCCGACGTCGTGATTTTTTGCTTGGTCCGCAGCGTCCACCCCCAGAGGGGTCTGGACCCCTTCCCATCCTGGATCCTCGATCCCCGATGCCCGATCCTCCTCGATCGTCCATCCCCCAGCCCCCATCCTCCATCCTCCATCCTCGATGCCAGACCCCCGACGTCGTGGCTTTGCACATCCTCCATCCTCCATCCTCGATCCCATCCTCCATCCTCCATCCCCCAGGCCCCCATCCCCCATTCTCCATCCTCCATCCTCGATCCCAGACCCCCGACGCCGTGGCTTTTTGTTCACACCGTCGACCTCCATGGCAGAGGTTGGGCCCCTTCCCATATGGACCGGCTTCTCATCCCGAGTCGTTTTGTGTTGACGGCCCCCAGGCCCAGTGAGGGCCCCCAGAAGCCGAAAATCATGGAACGCTTCCCGTCGTGATTTTTTGTTCACCACGCGAGGGGGTCTGGGGAAGAGAAGGCGGGAGGGAGGGGAATCCTTTGGGGCCGGGCCGGACCCTCTCCCCGCCTGGGAGCCGATGCGCCTCCGCCTCCTCCTCCTCCGCCTCCTCCTCCTCCGCCTCCTCCTCCTCCTCCGCCTCCTCCTCCTCCGCCTTCCCCTCCTCTGCCTCCTCCTCCTCCTATTCCTCCTCCTCCTATTTCTCCTCCACCTCCTCCTCCTCCTATTTCTCCTCCTCCTCCTCGGCCTCCTCCTCCGCCTCCTCCTCCTTCTCCTCCTCCTCCGCCTCCTCCTCCTATTACTCCTCGCCTCCGCCTCCTCCTCCGCCTCCTCCTCTTTCTCTTCGTCCTCCTCTTCCTCCTTCTCTTCCTCTTCCTCCTCCTCCTCCTCCTCCGCCTGCAGGCGCAGAGCGCTCGGTGCCGAGGGGGGGCGGCTCGGTGGAACAGCAGGGGGGGGCCACCCGCCGAGCGCGACGCGGCCGGGCGCGCAGGCGCCCCCGGCGCCGGCGGTGGACGTGGACTTCTCCGTGTTCCAGAAGATGGAGCTCGTGGGCTCGTACTTAGTGGGCCCTGGAAATGACAGGGCCGTTTTTTTACTGGTTCCGTCTTGTCGTTTTTTGCTGGGTCCGACGCAGTATTTTCGCCGGTTGCGTCGCCGTTTTTTTGCCGGTTCCGGCTCCGGCTCCAAGCCTGAAGCCGTTTCTGTTGTTGTTTCGGGTCGCCGTTTTTTTGCCGTTTCCATTTTCAAGGGGCACTTGTTCGGAAACGGTGAAAAAACTGCCCTGCCGTTTCCGTGGCCCACTAAGGGCTCGTAGATGCCAGAGGCCCAATGCACGTACAAAAACCACGACGGAGGTTTTTCGCAGTTTTCGGCCTCCAGGGGCCCTTGCCGGGCCTCGGCACCGTCAAAACGCGACTCAGGACGAGAAAAACCGGTCCTGAGGAATGGGTCGAGACTTCCGGGGACCCCGTGTGGAAAAAATCACGACATCGGATCTCTGGGACGGGGGCTTTTATTCCCAAGGCGGGGTTAGGAAACATACCCAGCCAGATCACAGATGTCCTTCTTTCGATGAGCTCATGCGGCGGTGGCACGCTGACGACGCCAGCGAAGACGTTCAGCGTTGAATTCTGCGACGTGGAACCACCGAGGGACACAGTGGCGCCATTTGGCCCGACGGAATTCAACCATGAACGATCGCGGCCGAGATCGATTCAAGGTTGAACGATCGACGCGGTGTCAAAAACCTTTTGGGCGCGCCGACCCCGCGCGAAACCTACTGTGCACAGGCCATGTTTTGCAGCTTTCCTCTAACCCCACCTTTGCTCCAATCCCTTGACGTCACCCCGAGTATCGGTGGCGAGCGAGGGGGGGGAACTGAAAAGGAGAATGCTTCAGAAGGCGGCGGGACTTCTCAGAAGCCTTCTGGCCCTCTGAGAGGCTTTCTGTGTTTGCGGGGAGGCTCAGAAAATTTCTCGGAAGGCTGGGGGGACATCCGAGTTTTCTGGGAAGGCCTTCTCTTTCTCACTTCCCCCGAAGCAGGAAGCGCCATGAACATAAGCTTTTGGCGCTCCGCGCGGATTTCTTGGATCCGCAATGCCCCCTGGGCCCCCCGGCGCCGCCTCCGGCGCCGCCCCTGGCGCGCTCCGCGCGCTGGGGAGGGGGGCCAGCGCAAATCCAAGAAATAGGCGCAGAGCGCCACAAGTTTATCTTTATAGCGTTTTTCTTCCTCGAAGGCAGGGCCATCCTTCGAAGGACAAAAAACGACGACGCCCCCTTTGTGTGGTTCTTGGACACGGCAGGGCCGTCTTCCGTTTCCAGAAGTCTTGGTTCTTTGGGAAGTAAAGCGTAAAAGACGTTTCGCCAACACGGAGTGGTTCCGAGATTGAAGGCGGAGCCAGAACCAGAAACAAGCATTGCGACGGAACGGGGGAAACAACAAAAACGACACCTGGAGCCAGCACATCGACAACAAAAACACAACGGACCCGCCGTTTCCAAGAACCCTTACGGGTTTACCCACCGATCGTTGAACAGTTGTTTTTTCTGGGAAAACCATTATATTTGGTGCCTTTGTATTTCAAGAGCCGAGCGGTGTTCCCCTTTCTTCCTCTTCAGGGGGCAGGTGGAAGCGTAATCTACTTTCAACGTCGTCCTACTTCATGTTTCATCCATTTCTTCAAACCGATCGGTGAACATGAACTGTCGCCGTTCGGATAATTTGGATCTGCCGCTGGACCCCCCGGCGGCGCCTGCGGCGTCGCCCTTGGCGCGCTCCGCGCGCCAGGGCGGGGGTTTCAGCGCCGATCCGAGAAACCAGCGCGGACCTCCGACTGTTTATTGTGTGCACGCCGTTGTCTCGTCTTCTATCTAACTCGGGATCCGCAGGATTCAGTCGGGCCTGTCCCTCTACAGGGGAAACGTTCACAAATAGTACAAAAATAGTCCGGGGACCATTGTTTGAGAATATTTTGACAATTTGGGGGCATTTTGAAAGAACAAAGAAAAACAACAACAAAAAACACAATCCCCCTGTGGGGGGACACGCCCGACCTCACCGTAGGACGGTGTGCCACACACTCCTCCCGTCGGCGGCGCGGCGCGGGGAGGGCGGGCGAGGGGGCTGCGGCCTCTCCGGGGGGCGGCGGGGCGTCTCGGGAGCCCGCCGGCCCTCCGAGACGACCTCCTATGGTTCAGGAGGAGAAAAAGCACACAGGCACAAGTACTCGTCGATTCCCCAGAAAGCTCGGGGGCGGCAAAGAGGGGGGGTGATGACTAGGGGGGTGGATATCATGACGGGAGCCATGATATTTCCACAGATTTCATGGCGCCTCTTCTTGTTTGAATACGTCTCCGGCCCCCCCGGGGCCGCGCACATGCCGCCGGCCATGATTTGCGCCCCCCCCTCTTGGGCGCCCCCCTCGTGGACGCCCCCGAAAAGCATGGGAAAGTATGGGAAGTGGGGGGGAAGACAAGAAAAAACCCAAAATAGGGGGAAAAATATGGCGAATCGTTTTATTCGTGGGTATTGATTTGTGTGTCCTGGGGCCCCTGGATGCTCTCGGAGCAGGCTCGGGAAGCTGCCCAGGAGGCCGTGGGCCGTGGGCCTTCCGAGCCTTCCGAAAAAAAGGTCCGCCCCCTCCTGCCTTCCCCGAGGGCGCCCTCGAGGGCGCGAAGTTTTTCGCGCTTCGCGGTTCGGCTCCTCCTCCTCCTCCTCCTCCCCTCCTCCTCCTCCTCCTCCTCCTCCTCCTCCTCCTCCTCCTCCTCCTCCTCCCCTGGGAGGCGCCGCGAGAGCGCGAGGTTCGTCGCACTTCGCGCTTCGCGCAGCGCGAAGCGGGAAGTCGGGTGCCCTTGGTGTCGGCGATGCTACAGTACCCATCGGTCGCTGAAATGGGGCATGTTTGGAGCTCCAGGTTCCCAACCATTTTCAGCGCCTTCCTGCTTCAATGATCGAGTGGTTTCACCGTTTCCGTCCTCTTTAGGGGGCGGGCGGACACCCAATCTTTTTGTCAACGCCTTCCTACCTCCTGTTTCTGTCTCCTTCTGCCGACCGATGGGTACGCCCTCCTGTCCTAGGTGCCCTCCCCCGTAGTCCCCACAGGCAGTCTTCTCTCCACTGCGCGAAGTGAAGCGTGCCCTTGGAAGGAAGAGCGCCCTGGGAGCTTGCAACTCGGGCAAGCGCTCCGCCTTGGTGGGACCCCCCTCCTCAGGGAGGGGACAAACAAAAGCACAGACACAATTCACCGCCGACTCCCAGGAAAATACTCATGGGAAACTATGGGAAGTGGTGGGGGAAAGCGAAAACCCTGCAAATGCTGGACACTGTGGGGGATCCTGGGAATTGTGTCTATTGGAGAGGCCTGACGGCTGGTGCGCCGGCCCTGATCGAAGGGGCTAGGAGAGGGAGGAGGAGGAGGAGGAGGAGGAGGAGGAGGAGGAGGAGGAGGACGAGGACGAGGACGAGGACGAGGACGAGGACGAGGACGAGGACGAGGACGAGGACGAGGACGAGGACGAGGAGGAGGAGGAGGAGGAGGAGGAGGAGAGGAGGAGAGGAGGAGGAGAAGGAGGAGGAGGAGGAGATTGTGTCTATTTGTCTGTGTGTCCCTGGGCCCCTTCACCTCCCTCCCTCGAGCGGTGAAAAGGGCCACAGCCAGTGTGGGGCCGGAGGGCCTTCCGGGAGGGCCCAGCTGTGGCCCCTCTCTTTTGGGATAGAAGGAGGCGCCTCCTCCCCCCCCCAAACTCCGTGCAGACGTCGCGCAAAGGTTTGACCTTGTGCTCATGCAGGCTGAGGACGTCTCAGGCGACAGCCCCAGTCTTCAGAGGAGGAAGAGGTACCCATACAGCTAGCCTCGCCTCGTTTTCCCGTCGTTGGGCATTCTGGGAGGCCCTCGCCGCCGACGCTGAGTTCGCTTCGAGGTCCTGGTCCGAAGGCACCCCTCGGAGAGGCCCGGGGAGTAGCGGTACTGGTACCTTTCGGTGTCCCCAGTTCTGAAGAGGGACCGCCCCCCCCGCCCGTAGAGCTGCTCACACCGTCACACCAGCGGCGGCAGGTGCCGCGGAGGTTTTTGGCGAAAGCCCCAGCTCGAAAGACCAGCCGGCTTCCATTCGCGCAGATGCCCGCACGAGTCTTCACTTTGGCAACAGGTGCTGAGCGCTGAGGGAGTCTCACGCGAGAGCTATGATGTTCCAACCTGCTTTATCTTGGATCACCAAGAAGAGTTTCGAGCACCAAGAAAATGCCGAAACTGGAGGGTGTTCACGTGTCGGGCCCTGGGAGGCGATACTCGTTCGACACTTCGCCATCGTGTCGGGCAGACACTGTTTCGGTATTTTTCGGGTTGCTCGACATTATTCCTGGGATGTGGCCCTTCAGTACGATGGGAACAGGATAGGGCGAAAGTCTCATATCGAGAACGTACTCGCCTCCATCCGTTGAGTTGTGAGGAAGTCCCAGGCGACACGCTCGCCCCGGCCCGGCCCACGGACATGTCGAGGGGGGCGGCGCGACGGGGGGAGTTGCTTACAAAAACCAGAAGAGAGAAAAGAGGAGGAGAGGCACGAGGAGGATAATGAATTCTTTTGTCCCCCCTGTTTCTCGTTCTCCGCTCCCCCTGTCAAGCCTGCCCCACCACGCGGCGACCAGGAGATGGGCAAGGAGCAGAAGATCCGCGGCCTCATCCAGGATTGCTCAGGGAGGGAGTGAAGGGAAGGAGGGAAAGTTGTGTGTGTGTGTTTTCCCCAGCCTCCTGCGTGTTGGCTCCCCGTTTGAATCCGCAGCGCCGCGTGTCGCCTCATCCGTCCACGTCTGGGGAAGACCGCATTCAGATACCCCCGGCTCCCTCCCCCCGAATTGACAGTGTCAGCGAAGAGGGCGGGGGACGGGAGGGAGGAGGGGAGGGAGGAGAAGAATTGAGGGAGACGGGACGGAGGCATCTGGTGACCCAGGACGTCGCTGGCCAAGATGCGAGGGTCAGAGTCAAGACGGGCGTGGCGGACATCTTCGTCAAATAACATCCAGGCGGGCTTGTGTCCACCTCGCCGCAGTAACTTCAGAATACTCGCAAGCACGACACAGGTCGGCGATATCATCTCGCTGTACCTTCCACCGCTCCCTCTCAGCACCCACTTCGTGATGGGCAACTTTCCCACCACCACTACCGTATGTAGGACGGGTGAGAAGGAAGGATGATGAGGTCCTCCTCCTCCTCCTCCTCCTCCTCCTCCCTCTCCTACCTATGATAGTGGAAAATGGGCCCATCACCTTGCAGTCACCCTCGATGCCGACAAACTTGAACACCCTCTTATCCCAGAGACTCTCGCCGAACGCCGCAGCGATCACCTGAAAGTTGCGAAGCGGGTGACGGACCACGTCAGCCACCGTTTGATCCTTTCAACGCGCAATGCGAGCGACACGGGCAATTATCTGCATTTTGCGCAGCACTTGGGAATTGGACATGGCGTGGTATCTCGTGCCCTCACCGTTGCTCCTCTCACTAGCCCCCCACGCAGAAGACTTCGAGCCATGCTCGCTTATGCGCCGTTAATCTTGTAGGGGCTATTGCTTAGCAGCACCATTGGAACAAGCCCAGATTTGAGGGCCCCCGCGACAACGGACCTGAACTCCATGCTTTTTCCTCCGACGTCTGGACAGGTTTGGCAGAATCCTTGGAGCAGGTTCGAACTAAAGCAGGTTTTCTAAGCGCGTCTGGGGACCTCCGAGATCGAGCTACCGTCAGACTGAAGACTGGGGCCAAGATTTTTTCAATTTCTAGAGACCTTGCCGGGCATAGTTTCCCCGCACCCGAGCAGCCAGCCGCACTCTGAGCACCGTCCTCCAGACAGCCTCCTTTTGGCAACAGTGGCGCCCTTGCCAGAATGTCGACAATACTTGGTTTGTCTATCGAGTGGTCGGTGTTGCTTTTTTTCGGTCTGATCAGGCCACTGGGCGAACAAACGAAGTTGGTGCGGTCGAGATTGTCAGCGAATTTCGTAAGAACACTCGTCGATCCGTTTCTCTGACCACCGACACAGACAGCCGATCGTGCACGTCGTCAGGCCAACAGTACTCACACCAGGGGATCATGACGCGAAGTCCAGGACACTCGGAACCAATGACTCGGTCGACGGACCAGTGGTAGGGACCCAGAAACCACACGCAAGCGATAGTATCCCCAGGGCGAGCCCCCGAATCAAAACCCATCTCCAGAACACCGTCAACGCATTCAAGACTGACTTGATTGTGCACCAACCGTTCAGAGGAGCAAGCGATGCAGCAACAGGGTCAGCACGCGGTCGGATGAGCATCATAGGTATACCGTGAGATACGCTGTGGAACGCGCGCATCGTAAAAGGTAGTGCTGAAACTGCGGCTTCACACACACGGGTCTTCCTTGACACGAGCTCTGAATTGGCACAGCGCCTTCACTGCGCGAGGAAGTCAAGGAGGAGGAGGAGGAGGAGGATGTCGAGGATGGCACGGAGATGTTGGAGGAAGAGGAGGAGGAGGGGGATGAGGAGGAGGAGGAGGAGGAGCAAGAGGAGGAGGAGGAGGGAGGGGGAGGAGGAGGGAAGAGGAGGAGGCCCCCTCTCCCCTTCATTACCTCTTCCTTTCCGCTCCTCCTCCTAACTCCTCATGGCTCTATGCTGCCGCAAGGGCACGTCGCCCGCCGAAAACCACTGCATCTTAGATTCCCAATCCTTCGCGTCAGAGACACATATAGGAATATCGTTTTCTGAGTAATACGGGGAAGGGAGGGAATGGTGGGGGGTGGGGTGAACCCCCCTCCCGCGCTGGCAAATGATGACGCCGAGGACCACGACGGCGACAGTGCCCAGCGCCAGCAAACGACGTTGACAACGTGTCTCTCCCGCCCGCCTGACCGACGGGCTCGCCCATGACGACGACCACGATGACGACGACATCGACGGCGATGGCGACGGCGACAGACGACGCCCAGTGCAAACGATGGCGACGAGGACAACGAGGCGACGGCGACCATGACGACGACGACGACGTGCCCCGCCCGCCCACCCCACCGGCTTGCCCTCAGCGACGACGTGGCCCGGCCGCCCGTCCCATCGACTCAGCGACGACGACGACCGTCGTCCTCGTCGTCGCTTGCCGACGGTGACGGGGTGTGGGTTTGGAGAGGGGCTCTTGCCAAGGAGGGGGGGGCGGTTCCAGGGGAGAGGTGAGAAGTTCTTCCGCCAGTGGAGCTTACAGAAGTCGCTCTCTCATGCGAAGTCGTTTTTCGTATGCCCTCAGCATGGACGCTGTGCCGCCCACGCTGCAGCAGCGTGGCCGCTCTCGGTGCGGCGCAGATGTTGTCGCTTGCTTCTCGTCGGCAGCGGTGCCGCGCGCGCGGGCGTGACGTCGCCCGAGCGCCGCGGCAGATTTCGCCTGAAAATGGCGCCACCGCCTGAGCGCGCCGCACATGTCTCGATTGCCAAGTCGTCTCGGCGGCGAGCGAAGGGGGGGAAGTGAGAGGGAGAAGGCCCTCTCAGAGGGCGGCGAGGCTTCTCGGAAGGCCTCCGGCCTCCTGAGAAGTGTGCAGTGCTCTGCGTCTTCGGGGAGGGCTCAGAAGACTTCTCAGGAGGCGGGGGCACTCCCGAGCCTTCTGCGAAGGTCCGCCCCTTCTCGCTTCCCCCCCCCGGGGCGCGCCGCCTCCTTGATCGCGCCGCACACGTTTCGCTCGCCAAGCCGTCGGCAGCGGAGTCGCGCGCGAGCGGGCGAAACGTCGCTCTGGCCCCAGCGCCGCGCAGCTCGCGCTTGCGAGCGGCGCTGCCGCGCGGGCGCGGCGCGGGCTCCGCCTTTCGCAGGGCCCTGCCGGAGCACGGGCCGCCCGGGTGGCTGCGCGGTGCTCCCGCTTGAAGCGCCGCGCAGCGACTCCCCGAGGGCGCGTTCCTACCTCTGCGCGGCCCATACGGCTTCCCTTCTCGGAATCCCGCGAAGGGAGGCTGTGCCCCAGGGGCAGGGCTCATTTCGATTCCTCCGATTCGATTCGATTCGATTCCTGTGGCTTCCGATTCCGATTCGATTCGATTTCGGACTCCGATTTGGGCTCCGATTCCTCAATTGAGGCCTACAAGCCTGCCGATTTCTGCCGAACGTGGCTGCAACTTTCCGCCGATTCGATTCGTGTCGACCGCCGATCCGACTTGTCGATTCGACTATGGGCTCTCCTGCAGGGTGTGTGTGTGTGTGTGAGTTCGATCGGCTTTTGCACCGTACAGCCCAAAACAGATGTCCCCCAGCCGCCGGCACCTCCCGATAGTTGCCGATAGATGGGGCATGCGAGGGGCATCTGTTTGCGGCAGTTCGGTGAACCAGCGGATCGAATTCATGCCCCCCTCACGGTCAGCCCCCCTTTCGATGGATCCCGATCTTCGCCATCTTGCCAGAAGCAGTGCGGCGCGCGTGCGCGGCGCGAGCGCCTTGCGTTCGCCCGGCGGGCGCGCGAGCGAGTCTCGGCATCCAGTTGTGCGAGCATTGGCTCTCGCGCCACAGGAGGGGGAGTGATGGGAGCGGGCGGGGCCCGGTGACTCGGTCGAGCTGGGTGGCTTAGCTCGACCTCCTCCTTGCTTCCCCTCCTCCTTCTGCTCCTCCTCCTCCTCCTCCTTCTCTCCTCCTCCTCCTCCTCCTCCTCCTCCTTCCTCCTCCTCCTCCGCCCTCCTCCTTCCTCTCCTCTTCCTGCCGCCTCCTCTCCCTCCGCCTCCTCTCATCTCTAACGCGTTGCTGGGGGATGTTTTTCGTGATGTGAAGGCACGGTGGGTGGACAGGGGGTGCGGCGTGCAGCTCGGATACAGCGGTTGTCTCGGATGACGAACTTGCGATTCGCGGATGACGTGCTTCTCATCGGCCGCAGTTGGCAACATACAGTTCGCATGCTCTCGGACGTGCGGAGGTCAGCAGACTCAGTTGGACGTCTTCTACATCCAGATAAGGCGAACATCGTCACTAATGCGACTCGTGGCACTGGGCGGGGAAAGAGAACGTATGCCACAGTCGACGACATGCAGATCGAGATCGTGCTGCTCGCCAACCCGGTGAAGTATCTGGGCAAGCGCGTGGTTTTCGAGAACCCCGTAGAAACGGAAATTGAGCACCGACTTCGTCAATAACGGAAGGCGTTCATGGCGAACAAGGAGGAACTCACCAGCAAGAAGTCGTCGTTCAGATGTCGTTTGCGCCTCTTCGAGAGCGTGGTCACGCCCACAGTATTGTATGGATCGTCCAGCTGGACACTTTCTGCTGCCATGGAACAAAAACTACAAACAACGCAACGCCGGATGTTGCGCATGTTATTCGGTATTGGGCGAGGTCGCGTACAGGATGTTGTCCACAGTTGCTGCTCAAACTCGTTTTCCAGTTCTTCTTCGTTTGGATCGCCGTCTTCATGTCTGTCTTCGGTCTCAACAGCCACGGAGCGTGCAGCTACCTTTGAAACATGGCTAGATTGGATCAAGCGTGCTACAGCCAAAGTGGAGCATCACATGACGGAGCTGCAGATCGACAGTTGGATCGTCACCTGGAGACGCAAGGTCTGGCGCTACGCAGCCAGGCTGGCTGACATGCCCCAGGACAGATGGGCGATTCAAGTTTCTATCTGGGATGCTGCGGAGTGCCCGAGGGCGAAGGGCCGCTGGCAGCACCGGCCCTCCAAACGCTGGAATTCTAGTATACGACATTTTCTGCGCAATGCCGGTTACAACGTGGATGGGGCAAGCTGGATAGAATTTGCTGCAGACACGAACCGGTGGAAAAATTGGGAAAATAATTCTCTACAACGTGGTGAAAGCCAGCATTGACCTGCACACGTGAGGCACTGCCCCATCCACCCACGCCCCGCGCTGGGCCAGGATCTGCCCGTCAGTGGGTCTCTCTCTCTCTCTCTCTCTCCTGCCGGCCCTAGTGTGAAAGCAGGGCCGTTGCACAACCAATCGCAGGGGATGTTGCCAGAAACGCGCAATGCGCCAGCGTGCGTGTTTACACGTTGAACCCCCTTATGCGGATGTCCTGTCCCGTCCTCCACCTTCGCCTACTCCTCCTCCCCCTCCTCCTCCGTCTGTATCTTCCTCCTCCCCCCCTCCTCCTGTTCTCCTCCTCCTCCTCCTCCCTTCTCCTCCTCCTCCTCCTCATCCCTTCTCCTCCTCCTCCCTCCTCCTCCTCCTCCTCCTCCTCCTCCTCCTCCTCCTCCTCCTCCTCCTCCTCCTCCTCTTCCATTTCCTCCTCCTCCGCCCCCTCCTCCTCCTCCTCCTCCTCCTCCTCCTCCTCCTCCTCATCCTCCTCCTCCTCCTCCTCCTCCTCCTCCTCCCCCCTGCCTCCTCCCCCCCTCGCGCCCTCTTCGGCCTTCACCCTCCTGCCCTCCTCCCTCTCGCCCCACGCCTGCAGATGGGCCCAGCTACCCTTCGAGCCTGCAGCGAGCGCTGCCCCAGCGGGAGGGGACAGGAGATGAGGATGACGATGGTGAGTTGGAGGCAGGAGGGGGATGAGGAGGAGGGCGGATGAGGACAATCGAATATCAGGGATTGTTGCATCCGGAAAACATGGAGTGTCCTCGTCGCCATTGGAATCCTGGTATCTTCCGGGACGAGAAGGAGGCTCAGCTTTCTCACGGGAGCGGAACCCGACAGAGCGAGGCTTCGCACCAGGCCGACACCAGTCCCTCCCCACCCACCCCTGCCGGAGGACGCCGACAGATCGCTTCTAGGAGGGACAGGCGAAAGTCAGCGTCAGCGTCAGGATGAGGATGGATGACGAGGAGGAGGAGGAGGAGGAGCAGGAGAAGAAGAAAAAGAAGGAGGACGTAGAGGAGGAGGGGGAAACGCAAACAGCCTGGTCTTAATGCTCCCCCCACGCAACAAATGGTGGAGGAGATGGAGGGGAGGGAGAGAGGAGGCTAGAGGATTATGGGGGGGTAGAGGAGTAGGAGGAGGAGGCTAGAGGAGTAGGAGGACGGATGAGGAGGAGGAGGAGGAGGAGGAGGAGGAGGAGGGGAGGAAGAAGAGGAGGGGAGGAGAAACTGGAGGAGGAGGAGGAGGATATAGGGGGGATCGAGGATGGAGGAGGAGGAGGAGGAGGAGGAGGAGGGTGATCGAGGATCGAGGAACGAGGACCGTGGCTCGAGGAGGAGAGCACCCCTTTTTGGCCGACGCCATAGGACAACGAGCGACTGGCCGCCCGGCTCCGGCAGCTGGACGGGGCGAACCACAGGCCATTTGTTCCTCTTTCTCTTGCCTCCCTCCCTCTCCCCCTCCCTTCAGGAGGGAGAAAAACACACAGACACAATTAATCGTCGATTCCCAGAAAATAAGGGAATATATGAGAATTGGGGGGGAAGACAGAAACCCAGAAAATATTGGAAAATATGGGGAATATTTTTATTTGTGTGTATTCATTTGTGTGTCCTGGGGCCCCTTCACTTCTGCATGTCCTCGCCTCGCTCATCTCTCGGCTTTCGGGCCCTCGTGTGGTTCCCGCTCGTCTCTGTGCCGAGCGTTCGGGAGTTAGCTCCTATTTCTAACCCATGTCCAAAACCTCCCTGCTCCTACTCCCTGCTCCTCCTCCTGCTCCTCCTCTTCCTCCCTCTTCCTCCCTCCCCTCCCTCCCCCTCCCCCCACCCCTCCCCTCCCTTCCATCCCGCTTTCCCTCCCCCCTGCGTCCCTTGGAGCCGCTGAGATCTGCGTGTTTTCGCTCGGCTCCGGCAGCTGGACGGGGCGCGCCAATGCCATCGGCCACCTGCGCGTGCGCTCACCACGCGCGGCGGGGTCTCCCTCTTGATCCTCCTCCTCCCCCTCCCTCCTCCTCCTTCTTCTCCTCTTCTCCTCCTTCTCCGCCTCACTCTTTATCCTTCTCCTCCTCCCCTCCCTTTTTCGCCTCCCCCTCCCTTCCCCTCCTCCTCCCCCCCCTCCTCCTCCCTCCTCCTCCCTCCTCCTCGTCTTCGCCCTCCTCCTCCCCTCCTCCTCCTCCTCGTCCTCCTCCTCTTCCGCCTCTCCCCCTCCGCCTCCTCCTCCTCCCTCCCCCTTCCCCTCCTCCTCCTCTCCCGCTCCCTCCCCTCCCCTTCTCCCACTCCTCTCCCTTATAAATAACTTCTCTCTGTCTCATCCCGAGGCCAGTTTTTGGACGGGCCCCGCGCTTCGCCTGAGACTTCCTCACCACTTATGGCTCTGAAGGTTCATAATTAACAACAGTTTCACTTGAGGGCGGGTCGTGTTCAACATGTGGTTCTCGCCTTAGCGCGGCGCACATTCGTGGAAGCAAATGGCAAGCATTCCACGGGTTGAGGTCGGTGTGTGTGTGTTGATTTTGCCTTCCGACTCGCTGCTCGAGCGCGCGTCGCCCTTATCCTGGTCAACCCGCGCGTGCGCAGAAAATATTGCGCCATCCATCGCGAGGAAGCTTCGACACAATGCCCTCGGGCGCGCGCAAAGCTTCAAGGGAGGAAAGACCACCCGGACCGGACAATTGGCGTTTACTAAACGTCCCTGGGCGTTTTTTTCTAAAAAGCCTTGCCTTGTTCGATTCCTTCTTTGGGCGCGTTTACTAAAGGCCTCGCGTGTCGCGGTGGGATATTCTGCCCTCTAAAGTTGTTCGTCTACTCGCTGACGTGCTGCACGTGCCTGCAGAGCACAGTACGACTGCCACCTCCAGCGTCGCAAGCGTGGCTCGTCGCATTCGTCGGAAGCTGGCCCAGACACGCAAGTGACGGTCTCTGGAGCCTCTCGGGATGTCGTGGCCTCGGGCCGGCTCCTCAAGCTGCGACGTCTCCAGGCGGCGTCCCGGAGGAGCGTTTGTCGCAGGAAGGCACGAGGTCTCGGCCCACCTGCGGGCGCTTCTCCCGAAAAGGCCATGACGAGTGCAATGGGGTATGGTTTAGGAGTACATGGGGTGCCGCCTCAATTGGTATCAGTGATGATCCGTGGACTTTGCTCGTCATGGTATTCGCAAGGGTCCGCGACGTCGGCGTGGTTCTGGAGTTGGATGCAGGCTTCTACGTCCTCGTACCAACAGGTGCAAGCTTGAGTGGAGCAACGAAATTGATGAATCACTCATCAGGTATTGCAGGAAGCCTGGGAGTAACATGTTATATAAGAAGATACGGATTCTTCCAGGACAGACCCTGCAGCGTGGTGTCTGGGACTTTTTGTTGTGTTGTGTTGCCCCGTCTTCCTCGTCCTCCTCCTCTTCCTGCCTCTCCTCCTCCTATTCCTCCTCCTTGCCTCCTCGATCATCTAGTCATACTCTCTCTCTTAGTCTACCTCCTCATCCTCCTTCCTCCTTCCCCCCCCTCTTCCTTGAGACACGGGAGGCCTCTAAGAGGCCTTCCATGACCCTGGTTGGGCCAGCCTAGGCGGTTCGGGCGGCATTTTGTAGTTTCGGGGGGCCATCTCGGGGTCGTCTTGAGTACCTTTGATGGCACTTTTTTCGGGCACGTTCTAATCGATCTCGGTACACATTGGGGGCGACGTGTGGGCAGGCAAGAAAACAAAGAACACATCTTGATCGCGATGTTAGGATACACTATAGTGTTACAGTGCTGCTCCCTCTCCCGGGGGCGTCTGGGGGTCTCTTTCGGCCAGGTTCGAGACATTTTGAGGCCACGTTCGGCTGTCTTGGGCTCGTGGGGCCATCTTCGGGGTCTCTTGGGCCGTCTTGAAGGCTTCTTGGACCCTCCTGGCCATCTGGTGGCGTCCCTGTGGGGATCCTGGGACAACATGGGCCGACCATGTGGCTGAGTCGTACCCCCCCCCAGCATTTCGTTTGTGTTTTTTTTCCTGCCGCGCCCTCCCCACTCCCAGTGGACGCGCAAAACGTGACAGGACTGGAGAAGCACCGAGCCGAGAAAGACCACGCGCAAAAAAAAACGTCAGGGCAGCAGTCCGCGGTATTACACTCAGACCCGGCGTTCCCGAGGGGGCCCGCAGCTTGTGTGACCTGGGCGGGGCTAGGGAGAGGGCACATCCATTCCAGTTTCCAGGGCGTTATGGACCGCGCTCAGAGCGTTCTAGAATTCGCTGAGAAGGCCGCGGCGTCCGAGACTTCTTCGAGGGCCGCCAGGTCTCAGAGATTCACGAGTTATCCTCACCCGAATGTTTGTCCTCGTCCTGGCTCCCGGTTGTACACGATGTGAGAGTTTTCCCGTGTAGACGCGCGGTGTGTAGGCATGCAATTCTCACTGCGTGGCTGCCGCGCGCCACTTCTGCCGCGTGCAGTGATCGGGGGGACAGGGCCGCCGCACCCCCCCGCGGGACGCAGGGGGAGGAGGCAGAGGCGCAGGAGGAGGCAGAGGAGGGAGAGGACGAGCGGGAGGAGATGGCGAAGCAGGAGGAGATCGAGCCACAAGAGAGGTGCACGGAGAGCATTCCTCGGAGAACCCCGCGCGGATTCCTCGGATCGGCGCCGGGGCCACGCCCTGAGGGCACGTGGGGGCGCAGGCCGAAGACGTCCGCCGCGGACCTCCGAGACAGAGAGTTCGTGCAGTCGGTTGCTCCTTCTGGTTTGGGGTGGCGTCGCCTCGCCCACCTCCCGCCCACCAGGCTGAGCGAGGAGCTGGAGCAGGCGCGCAAGGAGCTGAAGAAGCTCGCCACGGCACGCCCACTTGCGCGCGAGCGCTGGAGGGAGCCGAGGGGGAGGAGAGAGGTCGGAGGAGAAGTGAGGACTGAGGAGGAGGAGGAGGAGGAGGAGGAGGACGAGGAGGAGGGGGACGAGAAGAACGAGGAGGGCGATGAGGACGAGAAGGACGAGGAGGACAAAGAAGACGATCAGGACAAGGAGGACGAGGAGGACGAGGAGTACGAGGATGACAAGGAGGACGAGGAGGAGGAGGAAAAGGAGGAGGAGGAATGCGGAGTGTGGAGGAGGAGAGGGGGATGAGGAGGAGGAGGAAGAAGAGGGTGATGAGGAGGAGGATGAGGAGGGGGAGGATGAGGACGAGGAGGAGGAGAAGGACTGAAGATTAGGAGGAGGAATGAGTTGGAGGAGGACGAGGAGGAGTGAGGATGATAATTGTGATGATGATGATGAGGATGAGGATGAGGATGAGGATGAGGATGAGGATGAGGATGAGGATTACAATGATGATGAGGATGATGAGGCTGATGATGATGCTGATGATGCTGCTGATGCTGATGATGATGCTGCTGTTGTTGCTGCTGATGGTGATGATGCTGCTGATGATGGTGATGATGATGCTGATGCTGATGCTGCTGCTGATGATGATGATGCTGAGGAGGAGGAGGAGCAGGAGGAGGATGATGAGGAGGAGGAGGAGTTGGAGAAGGATGAGGAGGAGGAGGAGGAGGAGGAGGAAAAGGATGATGAGCAGGAGGAGAGGGAGGAGGAGGATGAGGAGGAGGATGAGCAGGAGGAGGAGGAGGAGGAGAGGAGAAGGAGGAGGAGGAGGAGGAGGGAGGGCGGAGGAAAAGAGAAAGGAGGGAGACGGGAGGGGGACGAGGGCGAGGGACGAGGGCGAGGGACGAGGACGAGGGACGAGGAGGGAGAGGAGAGGAGGAGGAGGAGGAGGAGGAGGAGGAAGAGGATGAGGAGGATGAGGAGTGAGGAGGAGGAGGAGGAGGAGGAGGAGGAGATGAGGAGGAGGAGGAGGAGGAAGAAGAGGAGGAGGAGGCGGAGAGGAGGAGGAGGAGAAGAGGAGGACGAGGAGGAAGGCCTTAGGGGGGAGGAGGAGAGGAGGAGGAGGAGGAGGAGGAGGAGGAGGAGGAGGAGGAGGAGGAGGAGGAGGAGGAGGAGTGAGGAGGAGGGGAGAAATGAGCGAAAGAGCAGGCGGAGGAGGAGGAGGAGCAGGAGGAGGAGGAGGAGGAGGAGGAGGAGGAGGCGGAGTGGGAGGGGGACGAGAAGGACGAAGAGGAGGAGGAGGAGGAGGAGGAGGAGGAGGAGTTGGAGGCGGAGGCGGAGGAGGAGGAGGAGTGAGGAGGGACGAGGAAGAGCAGCCAGGTCTCCGCGAGCGGCTGCGATCTGCGGTCTTTGACCTTTTTCGCTTTGTGTGTGGAGACTTGACGAGGGCTCACGAGCTCCCTGGTTGCCAAGGTCTGCGTCGAGTCCGTGAATTGCCTCGTGGCCCGCTCCCTGACTGGTGATGGGCGGCTGGTAGGCTCCTACAAACTTGTGGGAGGCCCGAACTCTCCACCACCCATACCGCTGATACCACAGCCGAGGACTTCCCTCCTCGTCTCGAAGGTCACTCTCGGAGATCCGCGCCGATCTCTTGGATCGGCGCTAGCCCCTTCTTGCGGTGCTCTGGCGCCGCCCTTGGCGCGCCCCGCGCGCCAGGGAGGGGGAAGCAAGCGCAGATCCGGGACGTCCGCGCGGAGCTCCGACAGTTCATGTTTATGCCGTTCTGCCCTTCAGATCCTCCTCGCAGAGGCGCGGCCGGCGCGGGCACGCGGTGGAGGGGCCGCCGGGAGCAATGGGCTGCCGTTCCGCAGACGCCCCGAGTGTCGCCGCCAGGACCGGCCCGTGCGGCCAGGGGCTGCGGCTTCTGCTGCTGCTGCGGGGTCGGGGGGTAGGAGCGCGGCAGCCGGGATGCGGGAGAGAGGGGGCCATATGGAGACATCGGTTTAGCAGATACAGTGGGGGCGCGCATCAAGAAGCCATATGCTTTTCGTCAGGGTACCCTGGGTTTCTTCGCTCCTCGCGCGGCGCGGTGGCTTCCCGCAGCCGTTGAAGGAGCTGCTGCGTTCAGGGTGCTCCAGGTTTCCCCTCGGGTGCACCTCGCGCGCCGGTTCTCAGGGTTGGGTTTCTTGCGAGATTTTCTTGCGGCCGCGCCCGCACTGTATGCGAGGTGTATCCACTTACCCTGTCCCTTACATGCTATGCCACGCCTGTTACGGTTTTCCCCCCCGTAGGTCTCAGGACGGATCCCAAGGTCTCTCTTAGGGATCCGGGAAAGATCGGACCATAAATGGTCCGATGCATGTTCGTTTCCGTAGCCGTCTGGCTTAGCGTGTGTGTATGTGTGTGTGTGTTGTGAGGTACTGTCTTTTTCCATCGCCCAAGTATGATAACATTGAAGTTGGATAGATCACTTCTTCTTTATTTTACTTCATCGGCTTACACCATTGTCACGACATGCCGACGGATGCTCTGAGTGGTAACGGTGGCAACCGGAGCAGTGGTTCAGATGGTGGGGCTGACGACGATGGCACAACAAGAGTTGGCGGAAGAGAAGCGGACGGAGAACACACGCGAGACGACCGAGAGAACGATGAGTGTGTAGGCGCTGACGAGAGAGACGGGCAGTAGTGGCGGGATTGGGACGGTTGGACATACAGGTTGGGGGACCTTTGGTCAACAAGGGACCTAGGACCCTTTTTGGAGGCACGGGAACACTGAGACAAACCGGGAGTATGGCGTTCCCCCCACGTGGCTAGGCATGGGCAGCTTGTGCATAAGACTAATATCAATGTGTGGGCGAACGTAACGACAACGAGAGCCGAACATATCAGAAAAAGCAAGCAAACCGGACACAGGAAACGCTCGCAGCGGACATTCAGGTCACATTTCCGTCAGTACCTCAGGATTTAGCCCCGGAATCAGGATCGGAGAGATCGCTGGGCCACTGGTGTCCGAAACAGTCGTTTCCTCCTATGTATGCTGGCGATAGAGCCAGATTCGGCTGTACGTTGACGCAGGCAGTTCAACTGTCTGCGCTCATCGCATTGAGCCAGCTTTCTGGCGATTTGGGTGTTGCACACAGTGATGTTGCACAGTCGGAACTGGAGGCGTCGTTCGTGACAGCGTCGGCCTGTCCGCGTGGTTGGCTGTGGCAGGTCTTGATGAGGATCGCCAGCCGCGCCACGCGCAGAGACGCTGAATACGGACAGGGCCAGGGGCGCCCGAGAAAGTGGGAATACTCAGTTTTAGTCCACATGGTATTCGACAAGTACTTCAACGCGCATGCACATCATACTTTGCACCTTCCATCGGTGTGAATTTGATGGGTGAGCTCTCTAAACGGCGAGAGACCCGGGGATACATGATGGGAAGCGCACGACAGGCAATTATTCAACGGTTTTATCCACGAGCAGAAATTCGTACGACGTACATGTTGCGCCGATCTTCTCACCTCGCAGTGCTGTGTGATTTTGGTTGGGCCTCCCAGACATCGTGACGTCGAGACTGTTCGGGGATTTCGGTCAGTTGGCTCCCCAAATCCCAAGTGAATGCGCGAACGCTGGCAGGGGGGGGACAGACGGCACCGTAATCAGGAGAGCATTTGTATCATTGGGCGTCAGAAACACATCGGCACCGCCTTGTGGGCCTTCCATAGCGCCGAAGAGTTTCGCGACATCCTCACTTGCACATGAGGATGGAGATTGGCATACTGCGGGATGGCAAACATGCGCGGGCCATGGCGTCATCGACTTGCCAGAGGAAGAGGTGATGACTTTTGCTTTGCGGCATTCGGTTCTCAAGGTATGGAGGAACCGGGAATCATTCAAGCCTGCGCGACGCTGGTAGGTGAACAAACTGAGCACGGAGGAAGCGAGATCTTGGCACGCGCCACGTACATTGAAGGAGGCACGGGGTGCAGACAACAACTTGTTCAACTGAGAGAGGATTGATGTTCGCCCGTATCCTGAAGCAGACTTCCGCATAATCCCGATCAGTTCATTTGAATGAGGGTCACGTTGCGCAAACTACGGTCGCAATGCCACTGGGAAGATAGACTCGCGAACCTTGCGAGCCTCGGATGGGCGGGCCCCCGCCCATATGTCAGTCCCGAGGTGCTGGGGAGTGGAACCGACGATGCCACTGCCAGCTACCATCGTCGGCCTAGCCGAATAATCGCTTCTGTGTAGGCGTCGTCGTGCTTTGGCGCGCCAATTAGGAGAATTGAGAGCGATTGGTCCAACATTGCACTTCGCGGCCCCATCTTTCACAAATCGAGCCGCGCGCGCAGGGCCTCGACCCTGCCTGCTGCCGCCGTCGGTGGGGGCGGCGCGGCGCGAGGCTGCCCCCCGCGGGCGGCTGCGACGGGCCCAGGCCCGACGCACCGCCGCTTGGGCGGCCTCGCGCCACGCCTGCGCGCAGCAGACAGGGCGGAGGGTGGGAGAAAGAACGCGCGCCAGGGAGGCACCCGCCGCGCGCGCGCGCGGGGCGCGCGCGCGGCGCCTCCTCCAAATGCAAATCGCCTGCGAAGCGCACGCGCCGCGGGGGCAGCGACCCCCCCCCGCGGCGACGCAACCCCGGCGCTAGCAAATCACCTGCGAAGCGCACGCGCCGCGGGGCAGCGACCCCCCCCCCCCGCGACGCGCAACCCTGGCGCGCGACGGCGCGATGGCCCGCGCCTGCGCAGCGAGGCCGCGGTCGCGTCGCACTGCCGCGCGCGCGACCTACGCGCAACCGTGGCCGATTTGTGCCCGCCCACAACAGTGAACGTCCGCGTCTGCGAGCGGACTTGCCGCCGTGGGCCTACGTCAAACTGGAGGATTATGCGCGATTTGACGCGGCGGCAGACCAGGCCATGATCGGCGCGGCAGGTGTTTAGAAGGGTTGTAGGACAAGGGGCATAACGTCCCAGCGATTTGGGAGAAGCACAGCACTCAGGCTTCAGGCATCGGCGGCGCAGTCTTCTCAGTCGGTCGAGCACTTCTTCCTTGCAGCTTCTGGATGCGCGGGATTGCTGGGTTTTCTAATTACCTCGCTTGCGACATCCTCTCCTCCTAGCTCAGCTGCTCGAGTGTCCGCGAGCAGTCGTCGATCTCAACAGCGACGCGATGCGCATTGGCAGTCGGTGTCAGGAAGTCCCGGTCCAAAGGCATGCGCGCGGACGTCGTTCCGCGGCAATGTCGTGTCTTCTTCTTATTATTATTCTTCTTCTTTTTTTATGTATTTACATATACTATATACATATATGCTTATGTTTAAAATTTTTGATTCATATATATATATATGTATATATATATTGTTTGATTGAAATCCCTTGCATCTCGTCGGCGAGATGCTGGCGGAGCTGCCGGGCCCCGCGACTCAGGGCTCAGAGGCGGGCGCTGGAGCGAGAGCTTCAAGCGGCGGGGCAGGGTCAGAGGCGCTGGCGCACAGCGCACATGGAGGAAGAGAAGAAGAATCATCAGAGGCATGAGGACAGGAGGGGATGAGCAATGAGGACACCCGAAAGCCACGAGACGGCATGGGGGCAAATCCATGCCAGGACCGAGTGCTCAGCGGCGAGAGCTCAGTGCCCGAAGACATTCAGGCCCGTGGACATGCTCGGGGACAGTCGACGCCTTCTGGAGCCTTCTTCTAGATCGAACTCCGGGTTTGACGGGCGTGATCTTCGAGTTTCGTCCGAGACACCTCCCTGGGCAGACGCGCGGCGCGATCGGCGCGAGGCCCGGGGCCTTGAAGACTGGCCCGGCAGTCGCGGAAGAGCCTCGCCTACTGGACTATAGGAAGGGAAAGCCGCAGAAGGGCCGGGGCGGCGCCGAAATCGGAGAAAGCCGCAGACGGGCGAGAAAATGGCAGCAGTCGCCGGCTCGACGTCGAAGATCATCGAGCAGGAGCGCGACTTGGAGATGGAGGCGCTAGACGAGATGGAGAAGCGGGCGCTGAACGGGGGCGACCCGTTGTCCATGGAGACCAATCAGGCGTCGCTCTTCGTCCCAAGACCGCCATTTTCGCGGCGCAGGCCAGCGTCATCTCGTTTCTGGCGATCGCCGCCCCGGCGGCCCACGTGGAGAAGGGCGACGGGATGGGCCGCGGTCGCCCGCCATGCCTCCGCGGGGAAGGCTCGAGCGCAACGGGGCTCTACGGGCGTTGCGCGAGGCGCTCCGAGAGGCCGGCGCTCACGGGCGAGCCCCGCGGGAGATCCCGGCGGCGGCAGAGAGGAAGACATCGAAGGGGTGGCGCGCCGCAGCTTGGAGAGCCATGAAGTTTAGCGAGATGCCGCCATCCGATCCTCTATATTTTCTTCCTAACCAGTTGGCAGAACCAGGGTGCGCGATGAAAAAGCAGGCGCTGGGTCTCGAGGTCAAGAACCCCTTTGCGGCGATCGTCAAGGGCGGCGCAATGCCGCGCGAGGCGGCGCCGTCGAAGCCGCCTCCGGCGCCGCCGAAGCCTCCGCCGGCGACAGGGCCAAGGCCAGGAGCGCGGTTGTCGAGTCGCGCCAGATCGACGCCGCAGATGGCGTCGTCGAGTCTGTCGGGAGGGCGCCGCAGAGGGCGTCGCCCATGGGTTCGCATTGGAGACCGCCCATTGCGGGGGGCAAGATGGTTCAGAAGATGCCCAACATGACGCAGCGCGTGGATTACGCGATCGGCCGCGGGGTCAGTCAGACGGCCGGGGCAGCATGGGCCGTCTCGGAGGGCTCAGAGCAGGGCGACTTCCAGTCGCGGAGCTCGAGAGCCAGCCAAGGGCCGCGTGCTTCCGAGGCCCCGACGCAGGTCGGGCCCCTTCCAATGCGCAAGCCGGGCAATGTCTCCAGGCCTCGAGCGGGCCAGCCAAATTTTGTTTTGTTTGATTCTCGTAGCCTGAAGACGGCCTCAGCGAGGCTGATCAAAGTAAGCCTGAGCGGGAAGAGCGAGCCGCTGGCAGGGCCGCCCCTACTGCGCCCCGTAATCCGCGACAGGGCAGGGGCTCTGGCGCCGACGCAGATAACATCCGAGGCCGCGAACTGGTATTGCAGGAAACTTTTCGGACCAGAGTTAAAGCTTTTCGGAGTAGGTGTCTTTGCGCATTGGACCGCAGCGCAATGCTGAAAGGGGGCGCTCCCTGACGAGGCAAGAAGGGCGAGGGCGATGAGAGGGGGGGGGGGGGGGCGCGCGACGAGATGTGCAGACCGCGCCCGATGAAATATTGAGCAGGATATCTAGGGGCGGGTGAGCCGGGGGCGCGGACGGAGAGACAACGTGGAAAACATGGAGGGCCAATGGTTCAGGGGACAAACGTAGGTGTCTACTTAGTTGAACTAGTTGAGGATGGGGCCGCTGCCTCAGCTTCCGACGCGGATCGCTCCCCGTCGGATAGTCTTCCTTGCAGAGGCCAACGAGCAGCTCTGAGCGCGTTGGAAGGGAGAGGAGAAGTCGAAGCTTCCAGGCTTCCAGGGGGGATTTACGGGAGGGGGTGGGTGGGAGTTGCTGAGGTTTGACGTGGTCTAGAAAAGACAAGTGCCGCAGTATTCTGGGGCTTGTGTTCGGCGCTTCAAGGAAGTCCTGAACGCGGCATGTGAAAGCTAGAAGTGTGCCAGGCCATGGGCATTCTCGGCGGGCGTGATCTGTCGACCACGTCGGGGGGGGGGCGCGATGGCAAGTTTCAAATGAAAAGGCTTGCGGCCGTGTCGCGACGCCCCCACTTTGCAAGGGCCGCGGGCGGGCCGGACGGGACGTTTGGCACATCATGTATCAGGGGAGGAGTGACGACGGGGAAGACCAGCGCTTGCGCGCCATTTAATTGTGCTAGAGAGGTGCTGGGCATCATGCGAATCATGACATAGTCTTCATGGTTGAGCATCTTCGTGCCCCTCTCTTGCATGGCCATCTCAGGCAGCCGACGTAGTCTGCGTTTGCGTGGTGCAGCGTCGAATCAGCTGGAAGCGACCAGTGCAAGCTTGGTTTCGCTGTTGAGCCCGGTGGGGGGTTGTCGAAGAAACGGGCACTTGTTGTGTCCAACATTTGGTCTGCGCTTGAATTCTGCCGCAAGTAATGCTCCAATGAACATGAACGTGCGGCATTTATTGGAAGGGCCAGGGCTCGCGCCGCTGATAAGTACCCCGCGTCCATTGGCCAGGGCCGCTGCGGACGGCGTGGTGGGCGCAATGTGGCATGCGCCGCAGAGCGGCGTGGAGCGCCCTCAGGGGGCCGTGTCCGATGCTTTCGTGAGCGATCCCTGGCCTGAGCCAGAGTGGAAGTCAGAGCCACTTAGCCCGACGGCGGCTCGTCCTTCATGTGGTAGAGGTGACAGAGAAGCCCCAGAGGCGTGAAATGTCGGGTCCGGCGAGGGGCAACATGGAGATGTCAAGGGGCGCTGCTAAGGAGATCCGGGTAGATCGATTGAAACCCTTAGTTCATCTGATGCGTGTGCTTCGAGTTTCTAAAGCGAGACCTCTCGTCGTCCCGCGGGCGTGGGGAAATGTCAGGCGCGAAGACTGTTAGCTCGAAGCCGAGCTGGGGTCGCAAGGCTCGCCGCCCGAGAACGCGCCTCTTTGCCCGAATGATCGGGGTGGGCCTGGCGCATGCGGGCCTCCAGGGCAACGGCGTGCCCGTGGTGAACATCCTTGATCGTGGTGCGAGCTTCCAAGTCGCCGCTGCCCTGCAAGCCCCCGCGGCGCGTGAAGCTTGGTCAGGGTCCCCCGGGAATTCTGACGTCGGGCGTTGGCCATGTGTTGGCCCGCGCGTTTGAGACATCATGCAGGCGCGGCGGCATCTTCCAGCACATGCGAGATGCGAGCGCTGCACATCAGAATGGGCGCGTCGAGAGACATGGGGGCTCGTTTCAGATCACTCCCCACAAGACAGCTGCCGTGGTACCCATTCGAAATGCATAAGAGCTACAAGATCTACTGGGACAAGATCTCGGGGCTGAGACGCGGTGTTCCAATCAAGGATGGCTTTCGCCGTGCCAATTAGAGCTGGGAGAGGACCTGAGAGTGCCCCGAGTGTTTATATATCTATATATATCTATATATATATACATAAAAAAATTGACGGCGCGCGCGACGAAACCGGCGTTGATGATTTCGCCCCCCGACCAGCTGATCAAAACACGGCTGCAGGTGCTCTTTTCCCGGGAGAGTTGAACCCAGGAGGCCATGGGGAAGGTTGCTTTTGCGCGGGGTGGGGCGGGGGGGCAACGGGCGCGCGTGTGGAGGACAGCGCCGCAGACCCACATTCTATTTCTCAGCGGGATTGGTGGGTGAGTTCCGCGGCGGTGGCGCGGCAATCGGGTGGGGCGGCGCGGGTCGCCATGAAATCCAATCTCTGCAAATTCTCGCGAGAGCAGGTCAGGGCAGCTACTAGGCGCGGGACCTTACGCAATGCGTTGCTGAGTCATTCTAGGCTCGTTGAGAAAAGGGAATAAATGGCGCCCGGGTCAGAACGCGGGGGCCGAAGCAGTAGTTGGGGGCGGTGGATGTGGATGTGGAAGTTGAAGGGCCGCCTCTGGAGGGCTCCCCGGGCACTTGGCAGCCGGAATCTCAGGCGACAGAGGGGGGGGGGAGAAGGAGGGCAGGCAAGCCCCGCCGCAATGCATCTGGCGCCACGAGTCCCCGCCTTGCCCCGAGGAGCTGCCCCCCATAGTTGTGGAACCGAGAAGGCAAACCTCGGCGGCAGCTGAAAGTGTTCAAGTTCCTTGAGATGGCGGTTCCACGCCGTTTGTGGCTCCCCCACCTCCGGCCAAAATCGCAGAGTCGAGCGTCGACCAGTCCGAGGCCTCCTTTTCGTCATGGAGTGGATTTCTGTCAGATTGTATGTTCCTTGCGGAGTCTTACGACTCCGCCTGGCTCCAGCTGGGGAGACTGCCGCCAGTCCCGGATGTCTCAAGAGAAGCATCAAG